CTTACATGGAAAGACCTCAGGCTCCAAGCTTATGGAGAAGGGCCTCAGCCCCAAACTCTTCGACATCCTCTTCCGAAGGCAAGGCTGGCTAACGCCGATTGTCACTTCACCCCCCCTCTCGCCTGATTCTAGATTCCAACAGGGCGCAAGCTAAATTGCTGTCTGCAGGTGGGTAGTCGGGCGGATCAAGGGCAGCCAGTTCCTCGCGAACATGCCCAAAGCCCGGTAATTTCTTGAACCCGACACAAAAGAGGCTGTATCATTCACAGTAGAAGTAGTGATAGTCTAAGTCGTACAGTAACACTTTTAGCCATATAGCGGTGGCGATCCTGATGACTGTGGCGGTTGTGGAGGTGATGGTGGTTCCGGTTGCTCGTCAACAAATACATTTAAGCATGATCCCTTTCTTCCAGGGCATGGAGCCTTTCAAAGATCGTTGCTCACTAGACCAGATTCAGCCCTTGCCAAGGCTTCTTATGTGGGAACGCCTTGGCTGGTTCGAGGCTGGGAACACCTGAGACCCTCAAGCCCACTCCTTTTCAGTTGTTCGGAATCCCAACTTGGAGGTGAGGGCTGTGAAGCATGAACCAGTGGGAAATGGAATTGGACCATACTCTCATGTGGTTTGGATCCTGGCCAAGCCCCTGAACCCTGGAGCCTGACCTGCAAACCGAGACCGAAGACATAGAAGACTGCAAGGATGCCATGCCAGGGCCTTGGTGTGATCCAAAATGCAGGATACAGCATAACACAGATTCCCATGCGATAACTTATGCTATAGTAATTTTCATTTTCTTTTCCATTATCCCAATACAACCCCGGTATACTAGAGTAGTGTTTTCATTTTCGTTTTGTAGTTTTGAGTTTGGGACTCTTGTGTTGAGAAGTGAGGGAGCCTGTGGCTTGGTGGCTAGGGAGTCAGCCAGGGGTTTCCCTTTTGCCTCGCTGCAGTCGGAGTGCTGAGAAAGGGCTCAAAGGCAGCAGCTCCATAGCTCAACAGTGCCTTCGGCCAAGCCATGGCAGAACCAATGAGCCTCGTGGCTGTGAGGCTCAGGGGATCGGGAGTCGTTGCAGACGTGTCTTCAGCGCTTCCCACTGCCTGAGCAACAGCTCATGTTTGATGGCATAGGAGTGCCTGGGTTGTTGTTGAAAATGTCTGAGGCCGTCGTCTACACTCTTCTAGGTTCCTAGCTGTAAATGAAGTACGGTCGGAACGCACAGATAAGGTGGGTCGCATGGATGGCGCAAGCGGGTTCAGCGACTTGGGCGGGAGTTCCTTGCAGCTGGAGGCTGCGGCAGACGCCGTTTCTCCAGGAGCCATGGAGCTTCTTCTCAAGGCGGATAAACGTACAAATCCTGGAAGCCTGGGTCACCCGGAACTCTGCCGCCGCCGGTGCGTCTACATTATTAAGGGTGTCCCTTGCCGCTTGGGATCATCGTGCAACTTCTGCCACTTGGAGCACTTTAAGCATGAGCCAAAGCTTGACCAGAAGCAGCGATATATCATGCAGAAGATGACCACAACAGAGAAGTTGGCCATGCCTCTTGGCTCAGCTGGGTTTGACTTCACTGACATGATTCTTTTCTTTCTGCTTTTTGCTTGGAGGTTTCTGCCACACTTCCGAAGCCGAGCAGATCAGATGGGTCTCCTAGAACTTGCTAGACCTTTCATGGGCTTGCTGGAAGAGGAGATGCTCCGCTCGCTCCACCCTGGCATGCCAGCTCAGATTGTCAAGGACAGGCACACAAAGCGATTGGCTATAGCCTTGTCACGGATGAGCCTGGCGACTCTGGCAAAACTCATGCTGGAATTTCTCCCGCCCGACGTGAATGAAGCCTTTGAAGCCCTACGCGAGGTGAGCTCCTCACGCTTTTGATTCCTGGCTAGGAGAGTATCCCTGAAAGTCAAGGTCCCCCATACACATTCCAAAAATGCACTAGGTATTGCAAGCAGACTCAGGCAGACGCAAGAACAATGCTTATCAGTAGTTTGGGATAGTTTGGGTCTGCATCAACGGTACAATCCGCAGCCAGATCTCCTGAAAGTTAAGCGGCCAAAGTCCATGAGCTCAAGACCAAGGGGGTGTGTTTTAACATGGAGGTTTCTCAAAGTTATAAGCCTCGCATCCCAACATTTCGGCCAGCAGCCCTTTTGAGAAACTCCCGCACAATTGTAATGGAACTAGATCAGAGTCGCAGGTGGTATCGGCGCCCCAGATTCTAGAAATGCTTTTGACGAATCTTTGGTTGACGGACTCTAGATCTGTCAGTTCCTAGGGCAAGCAGTCTCTCCAGGCCCCGATAGTTGGGCCTGGCAGAAATCCTTCCAGTCCGTTGAGCCTCCTCGTCTGCGAGCCTTGCCTGGCACAGCGGCCAGCGTGGAAATTGGCTTGCATGATAGGTTTTCAATCCTTAAGTTGAGGCTGACTCCTGTGGATTTGATCCTTGGCTTGAGGCAAGTTTTGCCTTTTTTGACAGCTGCACTAGCACATCCACGATCAGCGGTAGAGCTGTGTGGAACCCTGCCAGAGAGTTCATTCTCGGCAGTCGCATCCAGTTGCGGCGGGTTCATATCAGCCAACCTTCTCGTCCAAAGGGTGCGTGCAACGCTGGGAAGTGAGTGGAAAAGGAGGCATCTCGCAAAGCTACAACGTCTCGAGATGTCTCGAGCGAGAGAGAGCTGCTGAAACGTTTGTATTCACCGTGATGACCCGAAAGGCACATTCTGGTTGAGTACGCCCGCTACGACGGAGTGCCGGCACCTTACTGATGCTTTGCTTTTCCCACGGATGCAATTCATGCAATGTGCAGATGCTGGCGAGGCCTGACCCGCCTGACAAAGAAGCAGGGAAGGGGTGGTCGGTTTCTCAGGCATGCAGGCAGCTTAAAGACATTGCATTGGCATCTAGAGCCATCCTTTACAGGAGATAGGAAGAAGAAGGAATGCGAACTAGTGCCAGGTACATGATCGCAGCTCGCGATGACGACGAGATGAAGGACACGGAAACCGTGTGCTCCAGCCGTCAGCTTCAGGCCGAAGGGGATGAAACGGGAGTTGCTGAGGAAATCTCGTAGATCCTCCACTCCTGTGATCTAGCCTTCCTTTCCTGAAGGGACCCAAACGGCATCAAGGAGTAAGACTCAGCATGCAGCTTTGAATGCATTTGACTCTTGTAAGGCAGGTGGAGCTGTTTACGCAGTGCAGCCTCGTAGAATGCAGACGTGCATGGGCGAAGCCGTTCAGAGAAAACACAAATTAACCCTACACCAGTACGTTTAGTAAAGCAATAGAGTCCACTCTTTCAAGCTGTTCCTTGCCAGATCCTGGACCGGCACCGCAAGGCCGAGCGGAGAGTGCTTAGGGATGCCAGAAATGAGCATATGAGAAGGCATTGTCGTAAGTTTGCCGATATGTCAAGCATCGCATATGGCGAAAGTGTGAAAGTGGGGGAGTGAATATAGACATGTTGGTGGGGTTATGTATAGAGATTGAACAGGGAGAAGGACTACTGTAGCTGGGCACAGCCTCGCGCTTCTGTCTGGAAGGAGCAGGATGAGCTGGACCGGCAGGCGGAGGTGCAGGCCATGAGGAAGCTGCTGCCGGACAGGGCCCCTGACTTGTTGGGAATCATGCAAGGAGTTTACACGGAGTATGTAAACATGCATATGCAGGTCGAAGCAAGAGCAGATAACTAATTACAAAGCTTGTGCAACATACGTCATCAAATTCTAGGCTTTCATGTTGTGACCTTTCCTCTCATGTTCAGTGCTTTTAGTGTGTACCAGTGTAAGCGGTCATGCCGCGGTCCAGCTTGTTTTCCTGGAATGAAAGGACACTCGCGATCGAGTACTTCACGCCGCGGCTCAGATGGGGCTAGGCAAGGAGCCGCAGGCGCCAAAACTGAAAATTCAGTTTCTGAACTCTGGAAGTATCCTCTCAATTTAGTCAGAATGGACGAGTAGACTACTATATCCGAGGTTCTGGCTGAGCATGCCCCCAAAACCCCAGTGGATCCAGATCTGTGCCTCGAACTCCCTGAGCCCAGAATCCAGGACAAGCTGGAGAAGGAGCCACCCCCAAAGGCAGCGGGTTTCCTCAGATCTACACGTGTCTCAGTAAGGACGACGTCATAAGCGCAGTGCAAATCAGAGAACTACCCTCATGCCGCTTGCTGGGTTCAGCATGATGCTTGGGTGCATTCATGTTTTACTTTGGTTGCTTTGCCCCCCATGCCGCGGGCGACAGAACTTGGTCTGCTTTTACGCAGCCAGAATATTGTGGGCCTTAATGCAAAGTGCCCCCCCAACGTGAACCATAATTTTGGGTTACAGAAAAAGCACAGAGATCTCCGGCGTCCCTCTCAAGGATTCCATTTTTGCGACAGTCTTGTGTCTTGCAGGCGGCAGAGGCTCCGACACCAGTTGTGCCCCAGGAGTGGCAGGGTAGAGCGAAGACACCGGTGTTCTCGACAACTTCTCGGTCCCTTGTAACAGGATCCTTTGATAACTAGGGTTGATACTGCGAGATCCTCGTCTGGAACGTCCCTTCTTTCGGGGGTCCTCAGGTGAGGTCTTGGGAAATACCGTCAAGGCCTCTCATTTAGCTGAATCTGGACAGACCCGGAAGAGGAGGTTTCTCATGACCTGGACCTCTTTATGGCTGCGCGTCTACAAACTGCATGTAGCTGTTGCAGATTTTTTTCTCGTAATGATGGGTTCATGAACCTGCCGGCCTAGCGGCCTAGCGGCCTAGCGGCCTAGCGTACCGTGATCATTGGCAGGCTCGGCCGGACCTGGGATTCATCTCGGCACGCTACTCAGGTAGCACCTTGCAATGAGGGCGCCGCCTCCTTTCTTCGAGAGCAGCTTTGAGCAGCTTTTGCGATTAAACAATAGTAAGAACAATTTAGTAAAAATATTCAATAATACTAGCAATAAAAATACTAGTAATAATAATAGTAATAAGAATGATATACCTACCGCCAGAAGTGTTGAAGGCGATGTTCGACGATCTCGACGAGGAGGCCTGACAACTGCCAATTGCGCAGTTTGGGCTTTTGTTATCCCCAGGCCCTAGCGGCCCTAGCGCGCTCAGCTTGAGTGCCTTAGGAACTCTTCGGTTCCGCGCTGTACAACACCTCTGCCGTGTACAGCGATGAGGACAGCGAGCTTGCGAGAATATTTGCCAACGTAGATACTATCCGTACAGATTGACACGCATGGCTCTCAAAAAGTGTGCGTCGATACGAACACAGCATGCTGCTGTGACGGTCTGCTTAGGTGTTCAGATTCGAGAAACAGATTGAGGGGAGACCAACTGATAAAGCATGCCTTGCATTGGATGTCCCTGTGACCTTGAAACCCTAGCATTGGGAAAGACACTTGTTTGTTAAGCGCGAGGACGAGGAAGCAATCTTCGGCTCGCCCGTCGGGGAGGCCTGGTATCATGATTATCATGACAAGTCCAAGCTGTTCGTGTGGTGTTGGGGTTTGTCGCACGCGGCTTAGAAGCCCTTTTCTCCTTTGCTGATAAGACCATGCCACCATCGCGATGATGATGATGATGATCATCATCATCATCATCATCGTCATCGTGGTCGTCGCCATCATCGTTGCCTGCATCACGATATGCATCCTCAAATGTTGGGTCCGTGGCGGACCAATCTCGAGACAAACGTCAGGGAAATTGGGGGGTCGAAATGAAGCGCTCTGGGGCCTGAGCTCTCTCCGGTTTACGAAAATTGTAATCGAGGTTCCATTAACAAATGCTTTAGCTCAAAAAGAGAGGGTCCATACGAGGAAGCAACCTCTTGGGGTACTTTGTTATTACCACCCCTTGATTGATATGATTTGGGGGCTGGGTAAGGAGTAGCCTTTGGAGATTTGTTTCGGGATTGGGTTTACAATCTGTTTAGTAAGAGACCGATAGTTTCTGGCATCCCGGCAGCTTCGGAATGTGAAGGTTGCAGATGGTTGCAGACTATCCTGGGCTGGCTTGTCATAAAGGCTCAATTCAAGAATGCTTGTGCTGCGACACTCTCGTAGCTTGCCTCTTCTCGAGTGAGCTAAGGGCAGTGCTTTTTGGATTGAACTTACTTCTTCACAGAAGCAAGCAAAAGAACTCTTCAGTTGCATTCTCTTAATTTGGCTTCAATTGCGAGCCAGGATTTTGGTGGATTTTTAGGCCGGGGAACTGTATGATTACTCCCCCTTTATAAATGCACCCGCCCTGACAGCACAATATGTGCGTAGGGCATATCAAGCAAAACATAGGTTCGCAAGAAAAAAAGAGTTAGCAATCCTGAATTGCAGGATGTTGGCTGGCCAATAACGATGTGGACATTATACTTTCTTGTCCCCTGTGTATCCTCTTACTACATGTGTGGCACTCCTCCTCATCGGTCCTCTCCTCGCTCTTGTCATCAGGAGAAATCTCAACCTTCTGCTATGTTTCTTCACCCATCATCCATACATTCGGTCAGCCATCAGCCATCAGCTGGACGTTCGTCCACGAGTGTGTGGATGCAACCAATGTCGCTTGACTAGGTGGATCCTATCAAAGCAATTGTTCGTATCAAACGTCAACGCACAGGACACTCCAAGTGGAGAGCCACCCAGCCCGGATTTGGCCCCAGCGCTGCTAGCCCAGTCTGTCAGGAGTAGTTGTTATGGTGGTGGCTGCAGTAGCACCATAACCTGCGCCAGCAGCAGAAGTCGCAGCAGTAGTTGCAGCAACAGGAAGCTACTTCCGCTCAGACCAGTTGCGCAATTATGGCCATGACGATCCCACCTTTGCTTGTGACAAACGTATGGAGCATTTTCGGTGATAGTTTAGTGGCGACTCTATGACAGTTTTTTGGAAAGAATGGAGGCTACTGCGGTGAAACTTGATATTGAATGAGATGCATCCGATGGTGAGACTGTTGATCCAGGTGACACATGTTAATTAGAGTTCGAGTGAGGATGCACGTCTTGCTCTTGGAAATAGTTTTGCACATTGCAGAGCTGTTCAGTCGACGCAGAGCGTATGCAAATCAGATGCTGGCATGGAGAATGTACTGTAGCTTCCAACACTGGATCTGGATCTGATCTTTACTCCAAGATGCCTAGAGCACATGCAAAAGTGTGCTTGCTTGAAAGAAGCATCAAAGCGGCAAAAAGATATGCAGCGAGATTCGTAGAATGGCCGGTTTTGGGGGATCCCAAGAATGAGAACTGTATTCTCTTGGGGCCAAAGAGTGTGGAAGGTGTTGGGCTGGATCGTTCTGTGCAGGAGTTGTATGACTGGTCGACATGCTAAATCGCGGCATGGGATTGCACATTAGAGAGGCAGATTCAGCTCTATGCAGGCTTCTGGGAGGGCGGAGAACTGAACGCTTTCTGAGGGCGACGCCGCCCACCGGCCGAGCCGTCCCTCGGACGCCGCCCATTGGGGGCGCCGGCGTTTCTCCAACGCCACCGAGGAGAGGCACTCCACGCACGCCACCCCTTGGGGGTGCCGTGACACCGCCGCGCGGGCAGGCGCGTTGACTTCCAGCTGAGTCTGTTTTAATTGAGCTTTGCTCACATCTTGGAGCGCTTCCGCTTGCCTGGTCACAGGAGGATGTCATGCTCTTGCCTCAGACTCTCTGAATAGCGGATGACGTAGCCCAAATGGCAGCAATGACAGCTATATTTACCTTGACAGTAACATATAGTCAAGAGCTGCTTACTTTGCCCGCGCAGCTGTCTCAACATTTTCTGCTAACATGAACGTCAGTTTTTTTCATCATGTGGCCATGCGGAACTACACACAGGATCAGATGTGAGCATTCAACGCAACAATGGTTACCTCTAGTCAATGTTTTCTTGCATGTTCAACAAGCAAAAGGAAGCGGTGTATGGGTTTTGGAAACAGGGAGTGCTACACCCGCAAGGCGTGCTAGCGTGGTGCCCGTACCAAAGGCGCGCAGTGGTGGAGATTGTGGGACTGGACAGCAAAGATTGACAGATTCTTGAGAAGCCTGGGTTCAAGCGGGCGCCTGGAGCAGGGTGCCGCTCCGTCTCCGGTGGACCGTTTGCATGGGCCTCAGCCCGAAAATCCTCAACCTGCATCACAGCCTATAGCTCCATCAGTCTTTTGCTGAATTCTTCCTGCGAGGATAGATTTGTCATGCAATAGGTATCAAGTATGCGATTGTACTTTTTTTTCAGAATGAGCATGTTTGGGGGTAGCTCCTGGTAGTAGATTCGTGGTTTATCTGACAGACAGCTATGCTACTTCCAGCTTTCAGCTCCAAAGCGGCTAAAAGCGACGCGTTATTACCAGGAAGGCTGTCCCTTTGACTCCGGACACTTCGAACTCGAACGCAGCTGGAGTTGGAGGGCAGGCACGGAGAGAAACAGAGAAATCTCTGGCTTTTGCTTTTCGCCTGCTTGTAAATGTTGATCTGCATTGATCCTTCTTGTCCAGGGACATCCTCCCGGCACACCTGAAGCTCTGTCCATGTCTCAAATTGAAAGCGGCTGCCAGACCTCGCATCTCGAATTGCTTCAACTTTTGAGGCTGTTTCCTCTGACGCCGATGGGCGGAGCCGGCGGAGCCCCTCGGACACCGCCTCGGACACCGCCCCCGCCTGGGGTGATGCCAGACATCCCGATGACCCCGCCCATCGGGGGTGCGGGTGCCCTGGAACCACCTCCTGAGAAGGCTTTCGGGCTTTCGAGCTTTCACTTGAGTCTGTCGGGCTGTCATCGTTCTCAAGCGGGTTGGCTTTGTTTGTGAAGCTATGCATTCTTCCTCGATGTAGTCACATCGTCGGCATTGGAGTTGATAGCGCAGGATGTGGCGGCTTCGCAGTGTGCTCAGCTTCGTGAAGGTTTCTGTGATCTCCAGGAGCTTTGCTTTCTGAAGTTTTCCCCGGGTCGGCTTTCCTAGGACGCTGAAGGAAGCTCCTCGGTCACCATCCGCTCGGGGGACTACCACTCCTGGGACGCCACCTATTGGGGGCCTCATCTCTCCTCGGACGCCGCCCATTTCGCGTGGACAGGTGCATGGAGAAGGGGGCGGTCTTGTTTCACATGTGCAGCATTAGGGATTGACAGGAGGTGGCAGCTACGCAGCGCCAAGCTAAGCTTGCAAGGAGAATCATTTTAGAGCCACTTTTCGGGGGCTGAGGTCCTACGCATCCCAGGCCAGCAACAAGCCTCGATGCAGACCTTGGAAGTTGCTCTTCACCGCATCGTATCGTCAGTGCACGTCTGGTTGGGGGCTCTAGCTCGATGGCTTGGTAGATCTTCAGTGCCAGGGAGACGGCTCTTTGCCAGCGACGCAGGCCTACCAGGACGCTGCATGTGGCAGACTGTAGATGAAACTTGCAACCTTGAATGTGCCGAGGATCCCTCATAAGAAGTCGGCTTCTGGAGGGTTTTGTTTGCATCAAGAGGCCCATGCCGAAGTAGAAACGTGAATGGTAGGTACTTGTAAGGCATCATCATCAACATGGAGCCGGTCATACTCAAAATCATTGCATTCATCGACATTTATGAGCAGTCGCACTCTCCTCATGACACGGCAGACAACTAGTGGTACATCGCTCGGGCCAGGCCGACAATTTTTTTCCTGAAACTTAATGGGCCCCAGTGGATTTGAACGAGATTTGTCATGTGGGTACCCATGTTTTGTAAGTATGATCTGGTTGACATCGGCACCTGAAGCCAACATGAGAATTTCTTTTGATGAATATCACATGAATCTCTCAACATAGGCTCCACGGAAAAAAAACAATTGAGCGCCCTTGCAGCGGGAGACCGCGCAGCTACCATTTCCAAAAATCATCAAGCCTGACGAGGACGAGCCGACGCCAAAGCGAAGGCGGACCAAAGAGCCGGGCTCCCCGAACGATTGAGAAGAGCAAAGAGAAAAAGGGTCCGGCTGTGAACGCGTCCTGAGTGCACAGGTCTACAAGTGTCTCCTTTTGCAGGGCTTCAGCTGGCCCAAACCAGAGCCGGTACGCAGTACATGCTTGCCCGCACTTTCAGTTCAGGTCTGCTTAAGGCAAACCCATGAGCATATGCATGATATTACTTTCACATTTCATTCGTTAGCTTGCGGTGAGAAAAGAGCTGTGCTCCGAGGGTCTCTCTGCACCAGTGCGCGACTTCCGCACTGGTAGCGGAGCTGACCGGCTGCCATGGCGAATGGGGACTCAAGCCGCGAAGTGCCCAAGGAAGCAGCAAGCCTGAAGAAGAAGCAGACCCGGTTCGCCAAGCGCTTGATCGACGGACTTCATGGAGAAGCATGGCGCGCCTGTCACTCGCTCGTGGAGTCGTCCGAGGAGCTTCGCGTCGTCGACGCCTATGAGAAGGTGTTCGCCACGCTCCACTCCATCCACAAGGTGGGCGTGATCAAGGCGAACGAGGCTTTCGACATTTCCTTCAAGAAGAGCTACCGCAAGAGAGGTCAGACCATGGACAGCTACTCGCTGCAGCGGCGCAGGCTTGGGCGGAGCTTCAGGACGTGGCCGACAAGGTGGAGATGAGCGATAGCCTTCAGGCCTACTTCCTCTTGGAGAATGTCGGCCTCTCCCGGGACGATCGGCGTCAAATCTTGCCTGCCAACCAGAGCAACTACTCGGTGGAGGGCATTGAAAAGGCCCTTCGTGTCAGCTTTTATGACATCCATGATCGTGAGCGTGGCGCAGGACACCGAGAGCAAGCTGGAGGCAAGCGCAGCGGCAAAGGCTTTCGCAAGCACTACGCGCACGTGGCCCAGGGCGAGTCCGACGGCAGCGGGCACAAGGACGAGGACGACGCCGCGGAGGACGATGCGGCCTATGCGATAGTCGCCGGCGAGGGCGAGACGCACGAGGGCACGGGCGGCTCGGACATCGGGGCCTCGGAGGACGACGAGATCTACGACGCCTTTTCGGCCTACCAGGAGAGCAGGCGAAAGCTGAAGGACTTTCAAAAGTCGTGGTTTCCTTCGCAGCAAGGATCAAGCCCGGAGGAGCGGAAGCAAGCCATCCGCAAGGAGAAGTCGAGGACAAGGTGTGCGGCCACTGGACCGGCGATGTGGAAAAGGCTGGCCAGAGCCCTAGCAGACAGAGCCCAGGGCGCCGAAGCAAGGGCAGTCCCAAGAAAGGAGTGCGACAAAGGGGAGGCAAGGGAAAGGCGCTCTATGTCAATGAGAACCCCTGCTTCTTCACCCTGCAGGATGGCGACTCCAACAGCTACTGCGATATGGTTCGAGAAGGTGGCGCGGCAGACATGGAGCAGGACGATGGCGTCAGAAGCGGAAGAAGAAGACCAAGGACTTCCTCACGAGCGCGAGTGGGAGGTTATGTCTGAGATCCCGCCTCCCTACGTCGGTGAAGCTTCTGCAGCAGAGATGCCAATGCCGATGCCCGACAGGACCCAGCCGGACGCCGAGGACGTGGGCCCCAGAGACTTGCGGACGTCAGGCCCCGGACAGTGCGACCGGTGGGAGGCAGCAGTTAGCGGCGCCAAAGCCCAGCTGATCGAGCGTTTGCAGAAGCTGTACCGCGGCGAGCTCGTGCACAAGAAGGGCTGCTCCAAGAAGATGGTGCGCTTGGAGGAGCACAAGGGCTCCTTAATCCCACTTGGGGCGAGGAGGTCGGCGGAGCACGCGGCGACTTCTCGGCGCCTATGCCCAGGACGGCGGCTACCTTTACGACGGCAGCTTCGGCGTCCTCAGCCTCAACGCCTATGTCGACGACGGCGGCTACCTTTTCGGCGGCGACTTAATTCGGCATCCTCAGGGCCTATGACAGCAGCGCCGAGGCCAGCAGTATATTTCGAAGCTTGGGTCCGAACACGAAGGCGAAGGTGCCCGAGACCAAGATGGCTGGCGGCTACGAGGGCAAGGGTACCGTGGACCCACGCTCGGGCTTGGAGATTTTTAAGGAGCTGGTTGTTGGAGAAATGGCTCCCCAAATTAGCTGCCTGGTGTGTCAGTGCCCTTTGGTTCTGCGGTCGCGCCGCGGCAAGACAGGATATTTTTTCGGCTGCAAGAATTTTGCCTCAGAGAAGCACTGCAAATTCACCCTTGAGCTGGGTGAAGGCTTGGCTCTGTACCGCCATTCAGGCGGCTCGGGGCGACGCTGAAGAACAACAACGGCTTTCGCCCCACCGTTCCTGCGCTTTACCTGGGGCGATGGGGGGTTGCACGGCGCAGAGAATTCAGTCAATGAGCCCAATGCTGGAGACCCAACCTTGTTTGCTACACCGCAGCCTGCTGAAGAATTCGTTTTCGCTCAAGATGGTCACGCAGAGGAGATTGAGGAGGATGAGCGCGGGCTTTGTCTCCTTGACACCGCCTGTGCCTCCTGCCTACACAGTCGGAAGTGGAGACAGCGCTTTGAAGCCCTGTTGCCAGAGGACAAAAGAGGGCAGCCCACTATGCAAAAGCAAAGCTTTGATTTTGCCAATGGGGACAGCGCGAAAGAGAACATCACGGTTTGGCGGCTGCCAGTCTTCTTCGCCAACATCCCTGAGGAAGTGTACTCGTCTGAGCTTCCCGACGGAGAGACACCGCTCTTATTCTCCATTCAGGCTATGAGGGATGATTCTGGACATGAAAGCCAGGAAGGTGAACCTTCAAGCGGAGCTGGACATGGAGACCACTCGGACAAAGCGCTTGGCCATAAGAGCGGCCCAGACTTCGAGAAGCCCATGGCCGAGCCCAAGGGAACCAGTGAGGCGCCGCAGGTGGAGACGGAGGACCTCAGCGTCTACTACCTCCAAGAAGCAGAGCTCCCCCTACTACACGGCCATCCGAGGATAGAAGATGCCTTCGCCGTTTTGGAGAAGGAAGGCAAGCGTCCAGATTTGTCAGTCGAGGCGTGAACAAGAAGGACAAGACAGCCGAGCTCAGCGCCAGACGCGTGAGAGAGCTCGAGAAGAGCTGCCGCAAGCAAGCAGCCCTGGACCAGCGCAACTGGACGGCCCTGAAGAATAACTACGCCCTGGCGGAGCAATGGGCGCTTCGACAACACCAGGCTGGAAGGTACTACTTGCGATTGAGAACCCGGCCGGCTCCTACGCGTGGGCTTTCGACAACATCCTGCAGAAGTTGCTTAAGGACGGCGAGGGGAAGTTCATCCTTGGCGACCAGTGTCCATATGGAAAATGGGATTACAAGATCGGACGCCCGGTGCAGAAGAAAACCGGCTGGCTGTCCAACAGCGAGGTCATCCTCAGTCACATGTGGGGAAGCCTTGCGCCTCCGTGTCTGGGCGCAGGCGAGAGAGGTCAAGTCGAGTAGCAGCATATCCCGTGGGCCTCTGCCATTTGCCGTGGCATAAAGGAGACCATGAACCTGGACTATGCCATCCACATGACCTACCGCCAGGGAAAGCACGCGATGGAGTCGACGATGATGGCGACAAAATGATGAACAGCGAGCCAAAGGAACCCCGAGTCGAGCCCATGGAGGACACATGGGAGTTCGCAGGCGACCGCTTGATCCGTGTGCGCCAGCGTCTGTTCCTACCATCGTCGACGACTTCGCCCCCAGTCCCTTTGGCGGAGCTTGGCGATCAGAGGAGGATTACGATGAGGCTGGCTGATGGCGCCAGGCGTGTGGTGGAAGATGAATGGCAGCATGCATGGGCGTGTGGAGCAGAAGATGGATTCCGCTTGGACCGGGAACACGGAGTTCGAGATCCTCGGCGGCGTCCCGGCGACAGAGGACCACCAAGAACATCACGAAGGGCCACGAGGGGGGGCGGAGGAGTGAAGTCAGAGGCGGAGGACAGCCTCGAAGGATTCGGCTGTCCCAATGGATACTGATCACGAAGAACCATGAGAGGGGCGTCCAGAAGTACCAGCGCCACGCAGAGTGCAACGACGACGAGGTGGGCCACGACAGCGTCAGTTGCAGAGGGGCTTTTGGACACCGTGCGAAGACGAGGCAGTCCTGGACCTTCTCGAACACACGGCAGTCGGCGCGGAGCGTGATTTGGGCCGTTCTTGGGTGGCTTTGGAGAGCGGAAGGGCAGACGCTACCTTGATTCTTTGTTCCTTGACAGCAAGGCGGATGAAGAAGCCACAGCCACTCGCCAGCCCCCTTGATGTACCTCTACGGAAATCCTTCCTCCTGCTCAACGGCAACGAGGTGCTGACCACCGACTTCGAGGAATGGCGCAGCATGGCTCCAGCAGCACAGGTGCGACCTTTGTGGCGCAAGGCCGTCTGCTCTACGTCGTCCTCTACGGTAAGGAGGCAGGCGACGGCATGGAGCCAGACGCGGTGGCAGACGACCGAGCACAGGCCAGGGAGGTGATGAGAGCGCGGCAGTGGCCACTCATCGAGTGCATGTGAACCTTGAGCACACACCCACGGCTGCTTTGCTGCGTGCGCTACGTGTGTCGAGAGCGTCAGAGACTGCGCTGAAGGCGGCAAGGTTGTTTCGTTGCCCCGACTGCCTTCGGATGAACGAGAAGGCGCCAAGGCCTAGCAAGCTTCCGATGGCCGACGAGTTCAACGTGCAGATCGGTGTGGACATCATCCAGGAGAAGGGCGCATCTGGGTTCAACTGGACATGGTTGAACGTCTTTGACCAGGGCGTGTGCTTTCAGGTGTCCGTTTTGCTGGAGAACACGCGTGCCAACCTCACGGCCTCGGAGGTTCCGCGAGCCTTTGCTATGGCCTGGACAGATTGGGCAGGCTTTCCCGGCAGAATCGGAAGAACTAGATCCGGATGGGCAGCTCGAGGCAGAGCTTCGGAAGGAGGCCCAGCCAGGGTCCATTCCCGGTCGGCTGCTACGTCTTCTACTTCGACGCGGCCAACAAGGTGCGTGGGCCCAACTGCTGGAGAGGCATCGCCAGAGTGGTTGGCAAGGAGGGCAGCGGCGCTATATGGATCTCGCGCCGGGACATCCTGATCGCTGTGTTCCCTGAACACCTTAGTCTGGCCCACGACCAGGAGGTCGAGCACTGGATGATCGTCGGGAATGAGCATTCCTTAAGCACGTCCTGAACTGCTGGGCGTACACAGAGCGCAGCCCATAGGGAGTCAGAACCCCTAGCCTCGGAGGAGTATCCTCCACTCGATGTGCCCGACTACAACCCCGATCTCCCCGATTGCCGACAACCCGGATGCCGAGGCCAACGAGCGGGAGGCCAAGCGACAGCGAGTGCTGCGCGACACCGAGGCGGCGCATTACGTGACGGAGACCTGTGACGCGGCCAGCGCTTACGAGTTCCACGGCTACTTGGTGAAGAAGGCAAAGGAGCACTTTGCGCACCACGTCGAGAAAGCTACCGCTGGACCTCATCCTCTATGCGGATGATCTGGAGTCTCTGGCAACTACATCCAGAAGGAGCATGGGGATAGTCCTCAGCTATTTATATCTTTCTGCAACGGGCTATCCTTTCAAGTGGGCTAAGACGAGGGGCGGCTTCAAAGTGGAGTGGCTAGGCATGGAGACGGAGTACTCCAGCTACAAGCTAGGCCTCACTCACAGAAGAGCCTCCTGGCTACTTAGCTGGCTAAGGGAGAAGGTCAGGGAAGGCCAAGTAACTGCGAGAGAAATGGCCCAAGGCCTAGGCCGATTGGGTTTCGCTGCTGTTTCGCTAGACTGGGAGAGACCGTTTTTGGGTCCTCTATATGCCTGGTCTTCAGCTATTCAAGACAAGTCAGGGCCGATGAAAATCCCGGCTATGATCAAAGTTTTGTTTTGCTGGCTAGCGGATAGGCTAGAGAATGGGGATCGCTTGCAGAGACCTTGCCGACCTCCACCAGGCGATGAGGATCTAGTTTTCTTCACAGATGCTAAGGCTGAGAACGGCCGAGCTTGGATAGGAGGCTTTCTAGAGATGGTGCCTGGGTGCCACGGCCCGTGGTTCTCGCTAGAAGTTACGAGAGAGTGGGCACGTTGGGCCTTTTCCAAAGATAGCCCTAACAAAGTTATTGCCCCGCTAGAGTTGCTAGCGACTTTGATAGCTGTGAAACTTTGGGTCCCTGACTCCAAAGAACGGCAAGTTTCAAGAGTAGCTATCAGGGGCTATACGGACAACCAGTCCAATGAGGCCCTGGTAAAGAAAGCGATGACTACCAAATTTCCGTCAACGCTAGTCCTACTTGAGCTGGCAGAAGAGCTAGCCTTCAAGTCTTGCGAGCCAGGCCTGACGTGGATCAGGAGAGAGGCTAACCAGCTAGCGGATGATCTTACGAATGAAAACTTCAAGGAATTTTGTCCCGAATTTCGGGTCCCCTTGAAGGGTGGAGATGTCCAATGGCGAGTGCTATATAGACTTTTGGAGCACGCCAATGGGTTTTACCAGGAGCTGCTACAGTTTAAGCAGCAAGGCAAAGCCGGGCCTGTGAAGGTCAGAAAGTCCGAGAAGCTCCGCAAGCTAAAGCCCTGGTAGCCCTCTGTGGCTACGCGTGGGAGATGGCTAGCTGAAAGCTAGAGACTTCTCTCGGGCTACAAGAAGAGATGGCTAGCGGGTTGCTAGAGACTTCTCTCCGTAGTTACAGAGAGCGGACTTTCGCCACCACGCTAAAAAAACAGGAGCGCTTTAGCGAGGGCTTTGCTGGTGTGTGCGAACACGGAGAGTGTTTGAGGTAGCAAGCTAAAGTGCTAACGCAAGTGAACTGTGCTTGAGTTTCTTTCCTAGCTAGCATACGCTAGCGAAACAAGTTTCCACCAGGAAACCTTGGGAGGAGAACCTGGGGTTGGTGGTGGGCTAGTTAGTAAGGCTAACGCACAGGATGGGAATTGGATTTTATTTTTTGATGTCAATCAGGTGGGGAGCAATATTTGGGGCGAGGGCGATAGAGGCCAATGGCGGAGAGCGATATCCGGACAAGAGTCATTATCGCGGGGACGAGCACGGGAGCGGGGGCGCTGGTGGAGGCGGACAGCGACATCGGGGGGACGAGGCCGAGTTCCATGGTGTTGAGCGACGCAGGACGAGAGGGGGAGGAGGGGCATTGGCGGGAGGCGATATTATTGGAGGAGGAGGAGGACCAATTGTGCAGAGCGATATGGGGGAGAGAGGAGAGGATGTTGGGTGCAGGAGCAGGGGAGAAGGGGTAGTGGAGCAGTATATACTATAAGTTCTTACCAGTGCCAGTAGTGGCTCAAACCTCAGTACGAATTCGGACTTAAATTCGCGGTACGAAGATTTCTACTGGGCGAAGTAGCCGTCGGCCGAGTCTCGCTGTTCTGGTGCGCAAATTTCTTGAAATATCAATGTCTCTGCAATAGCACTGTCTCACAAGATCATTTTCCAGTTCTCCTCTGCAGTTTGTTTACTGGGCAACGTCCTTTCCAAATGTGGTCTCCAGATTCCTTCGGAATTCATCTGGCTCAAGCATTCCAGAACTAAGATCCAAAGCTTTTGCGAGCGGCAAGGGTTGCGGCTTGCCGTGCAGGGGGGGCACCAGATGGGGGCAGCGGCAGCGAAAGCAAACGGCTGGTCGTCTCAATGGCCATCAAGTGGATTGCACCCATGTCCTGAAGTAAAGCTTGTGGATGCTGATTTCAAGTCTACATAGACAAAGGCCAAGTAGTCTTGAACACTGTCCTGAAAAAGGCCGAGTTATGCATTGCATGCATGCCCTGGGGTAGGGGAGATGGCGGCCAAGATGCTTGATATGCGTGCTACTAGCAAGGAGAGTTTCGTCACAACATCCTGGCTGTAGAGGGATCATTCCTGCATTCCCTACTGACCAGCGGAAAGAAGAGGGACGCACGCTTGATGCCGTTCGGAGTTGCCCGGTGTCGTTTGCCGCTTGGCGTCGCTTGGCACTTGGCGTCACTCGCCGCTCGCTCGTCGTTCGGTCTCGCCTGGCGAGAACGATTTCACGACGAGATTCCCGCCACGCTCCACTTCCACTTACTTAGATGTTTGTGTGTCATGTTTGCAGCTCCGGAGTGTTGAGGACAGCTGCCATTGCAGGTAGTCACCTCCGTGCCAGTCAGAAATACGTACAATGTGAAGCACCTGGCTCAAGGGCATGTTTCCGCCCTGCAGTCACGGGACATGTCAACGAAGTGGCTCGGATTGCATGATGTGGGCATGCAGTGGACCTTGCCACAAGACTTCAGTTGACCAACATTTTTGAAATAGCGTTTTTGTGGCTAGCCTTATGAGAACGTTTCGGGTACAGGTGCAGTGATGTCGCTTTGACACATTTAAGCTTCATGCTGCTGCGTCAGCCTTTTCAAGCTGTCATGATGACATATTGCTTAACTAAGGTGCGCGGCCCTGGCCGTCCAGTACTCGGGAATCAAAACGATCGCGTTGCAAAATCTTCCTTATGGGCGTGATCTTTCGTGAAAGATTCGCAACTTTTTGCCTGGATTCTCTTGTTGGGGAGGTGCTCGTTGGGGCTCATGCATTGGTGTTCGAAAGCTCGGCAGTCGTCCCGGCTTCATTGCTTTTCTTGAGCCTCCTCGGGTTCCACCACAAAGTCACGCAGGACATCCAAGTTTTCACCGTAAACAAATGCACGGACATTGTGGACAAGGCGTGCCTTGTAGATGTGCCTGGCCTATGTTTGCAAAAGTGTTCGTGTGCCCAGGCTAACACATCGGGCCACGTCACAGAGGAATCCAGCGTTTCGGTTTGTCGTAAGCATTGGTCAAGCCGGCGCCCAAATCTTGCCGTGACATTTTTCTGTAGTCAGAAGAGATCATTTGATGTGAATTCAACTTAGTGATGAGGCAGAGAGACGTGCGGCCTTCTTGGTGAGATGCTGGCGCTGGCGGGATTCTGCAGCATACCTAAGCGCATGCCATTCCCCTCCTCATCTTTGATCTTTGCAGGCCCAGATTCGGGATGATTTCAACAAGTCTAGTTTCTGTGAGACAATGAGCTCTGCTCATGCGTGCTCCGCGGCCATGGAGCGGCAAGTGATGTTTGTAAGTGCGTTTATGATCGTTTAGAGGGCTGGGTATGTGGAGGAGGATTTCCTTTCTTCGGATGCGGTGGCTGATCTGGCCTTTGGTCATTGCTTGTGCGGGCCTTACTTGAATTTCACTGTCGGGGGCAATGATGGTGGAATGTCAGGCGCAGCCACAGGCTCAGGCCACAGTCTTACAAAACACATGCGACCCTCTCCGCGCTTGCTTTCAGCCTGCCGGTAAGGCAAGCAAAGACGGATGCCGCTGCAGACGACTACTGTCAGCTGGAGCCTGAAAGCCTTCATTTTGCATTTTTTGTTGAGGTGTTTTCACTCGCGTGGGGATGTGGCCTGAGGCGTTTTCAGGGTGTACTAAGCGCCGCGGTGAAAGCATCTGAGAGCATTGACACTCTTCGCCTGGCGCTCTGTTCCAATTGTTTTTCTATCATGTACTGCACAGTGACATCTACTAGTTCTAGTATGTCTGGGACTTTTAAGACATTCCCAGGAACAGGCACAGCAGGCACAGGCGGTCTGGAAATATTTTTTTCCTCGAGAGAAGCACTGCGCGCAGCCATGGCCTTGGGCCAAGCCAACTCACAAGTTGATAGACAGCATGCTTTAGCAGCTGGTTTGGAAGCTTTTGGAATAAGCTCAGAGCGAGACGGCCTTGTTCCTGAATCTGAGGTGAGTGCTACATGATGGAGTTAGAGCAGAAGTCACGGAAGTCACGGAAGTTCCGAGCTTGCAAGCGCTCTCAAGCGGCTCCAAGCAGTCTTCAGAATGTGGCCCGAGTCAGGTCTCCGCGAACTGTGGCAATGCCATCCAAAAGTCTGCAGGCCGTGCTTGGAGTCCTGGACACGCCAAGCAAGTTGTGCCTTCGTTCACACCCCTTCCCTAGACCCCAATGCTCAGGCCCCTGTGCTAACCTTGCCGTTGCTCATTTCCAATCTTCCAACGCTCTCTTCTGCAACCACTGCAAACCTTTTCTTCTGCCAGCACGTTCGGAGATTGTTGAATGTATGCGGATTCCAGTTCACACAGCCGGACCCAAGCAGTCAAGTGTAAAGCACATCCGAGGTAGCCCAACGCTTTGGACATTCAGCTGCGTGCTAAGGAAGCAAATCCACAACCAAGTTAGAACCTCATCCACCGAACTTACCAGGGCAACCTTAACAATTCGGGGTCATAGTTGCAAGCCCAGCCCGTATCCTCCCAAGTGCGCCTGAGACTCGATGTGCGAACTTGACAGAACTTTGTGTCTTGATCGGGGCACGGGCCATGTTGACCCGTTATGCAACCTCGCTTTTACAGCATCCTTCTCCATGCCAAGATACATGGATGGAGCACCTGTGGACATCAAAGGTGTGACCTCTAAGGTCCGACATTTTACCAGGTGTTCACGGGATTACCTTCAAACTAGCACTTTGAGGCCATGAAGACATGGCAGTAGGAGGACGTGCCCCTTGCGGGTAACATCAGGCAATCGACGAAACCCTTGCGATTTCGCCAGAATACTTTTCCGCAAGCTGCTTCAACAGTTCATGTGTCGTTGCTCTTGCTTTGAGTCTGGAAAACCCCTATGAGCTGAGAGCAAGCCACGGTGTCGCGTGCAGACCATCTCATGCACACCAGCGTAGCGTAGCTCATGTGCAGACGGAGCATGGCGCCTTATGTTGCAAGCAGGAACGTTCAATCAGGCATGTGTGTCTCCTGATCTGTGCAACATTGGCAGTGTTGGCTTCCAATGGTTAAGGAACCCTCCCCAACAAGGTTCGCAAGATGAATGACTCCCCAATCCTATCTGCTCACAGACTTGAAACTTGCGAAAGAACCGAGAACACATTCAGATGTTATGTAAACTCTTTTTAACAGCCATGCAAAAACAATCAACATCTTGGCAGCCAAGACGATCCCCAATCCTTGGACATTATGCTAGGGACCCCCACCAAATCAGCAGAGGATCTTGGCCTTTTTTTATTGAAATCTTGCTGGCAGATTTCAGATTTTGGAATGCTTGGTTTCGAATTAGAGGGGTCCAAACTGAGGATTGTTGTGGCCGTAGTTCATTCCATGAGATTTGATGATCAGAGGTACGCACCGTTTTGCCAGTTTTTTTGCAGCATGGCCGAAACCGCAGATGTGAATGAGCAGCCCTTGCCAAACGGTGAGCGATAGCATGTCCTTGAATTCTGTATGAGGTCATTGCCAACGCCATGTATCTGACACAGGTGACAAAAGAACCACCGCCGAGCTCCACCATGCAGGCATGCATGGCCATAGTGATGCTTGCATTTAGATATCTTTGTGTGCACGCACTGGCATTCTTGCAAAGGGGTTGCTGCATGCAGTTTTACCTCATCGACAGGTGCAGCAACATCGGGTTCCCGCTGTGCAGCAGGTACAGGTGGGCTGGGTAAGAATTGCGGTAGCACTGTTTTGCACGGCCTGATGGGCACATGCTCTTGGATGCTGTTGTCCTGTCGTGGCAGGAAAACTCGAAGATCCAGGCGCTCGGGTCTTGCGCCTTCGTGAGTTGTCAGCTGAGGTGAGCTCTGAGGCATTACGTTGGACCCGCTTGAGTGTATTGCCTCCCCTCACCGTAAACAACTAGGGTGGACGCTGAATAAATCGTGCACCTCACTTTTTGGGGGATGGTCAGTCGTAATCCTAGCTGAGGTACTTGTCCTAGCGTTAGTATCAGTTTGTAATCAGTAGTAGTATTAAGATTGGTATTAGGAGGCTGGCACCCATCCAGATCCGGCCATGCCACGAGCGACAAAAGTTGAAGCAGTTGCGCCAATTTTTTGAGTGACATCGTGGCGACGTCGTCAAGAACCGTGCGGACACAAAAAAGTTCCACTGTATAATGCAAGAGAGATATACTTCAATTAATGTTGTAATAGAATGTGTAGGATACATCACATAAAAGATGGAACAACATGATCTTCAGCGCGGCGCCAATACGCGCGGCTTGGGGCGGCATCCATATAAGTCGTCTACCAAACTGTATTAAACGTTTTTCACACCTGAAACAAACCTGCAGACCTTAACCCCTCCATTAACCTTCTAAAGGCTTCCACAAACCAATGAACCTTATGAAAACCTTCTATGACCCACTGTTCCCTAGACATGAGCCCCATGACATTTTGGAATCATTTAGCGCCGAAAATGGAGAAAAAAATCCAACGCCAGAAACATTGCCAAAAATATTTACTTCGAGCATCCCCACACTAAAGCCGTTATTGCACGAGAAGT